ACCGTCACAGATTCAAAGTCGACCTCTCTACTGTGGTACGTGTGTTAAGATTTCACCTCTGTTATTAATGCGATAGAAGAATGCAAATGAGGTACTAGACATTTATAAACGTCGGTGAGTTATGAATTAATATCCGATGTTCAGCATTGAAGATCATCAACTACGTCAGGATACCTGCATGTACTTGCAATTACTTCCACTATTCGGCTGCTTCTTTTCATCTTTAATGCTTTTCAACCTGGCATTGGACCGATTACTATCTTTGCAAAAATTCTAGTAGGTTTCTTTCCCCTCGAAAAATGAATCGACGTACAAAATGCTTCTCGATGCTGCTAATCAAACCAAGTTTCAGCTTCACCATAGACAAGATGCACAGGAGGCTTTATATGACAGCAGAGATTTTTCCAGCGTTCCTGTACGCCCTCGTGATGGTCGTCTGGGTTTTCGCTAACCGAACATCGACGGAGTGCGCTTTTTTCCTCAATAAAAACCGCTATTAATTCCTTTTGGTTGGTTGATCGTTCTCAGAAAAGGCTCTTATCCGTGCACTAAACCTTTTCATGAGAGCCCAAAAACTGGAAAAGAAATGCAGCTCTTTCATATCAACTTTCCATCTTCGAAAAAATTTCTCATTTGAGAAATCCAAAACCGGTTACTTGTCAAATTATGTGGCGGTTTCCATAATGAGTAATAGGAAATTAGGCGGGTACCAATGGCTACCATGCTGGGCTGAGGAGCGTTGAGTACAGAGAAGAAGCTCATTCACTCTGCTGTATTTGTACTAGTTTATGTCATTTTATTCCAAATACTATATTTATGCGTACATTTGCGGCTATGCACGTGTATTCTATTTTGTGCATAGGGTAGCCTGAGAGAATTAGGGGTGGTGTACTGATTACTGCATTGGAGAGCGTATAGAGAAAAGGATAAAGCTTTCGGCGTTGATCAATCTCTGAGGCATGGGCCATGCATTCGACTTCATTATGTATCGTTGGAGGTGATTGAATGCATATCTGACCTTTACAGTGGCTTGCGCTGAACTACCGATGTGTCAAGCCAGTGCTGCTATCGTCCTAAGCAACTCTGGAACTAATTTTCCGACCCCGGAGGGATGGAAGGCTTGGTGGCCATGGGCGCGGGGATCGACTCCACGTGTGCGTCGGAGTGGTGCCTCCAACCACTGCGCCACACGCGCTCAATTGGGGAGCGTACCATAACTAATCTCAGTCTCCAATACTATGGAGTCCAATAAAATGGCTCTTCGAGCAAGGTCGAGCAAGGGACATCTGAGTGGTAACACAGAAGTTTGAAAAAGTGCACTAAATACCCGCTCAGTCACTGTAACCCTAATGGGTAAGGAGTGCGCCTAAGACACAAATGTTCTACGTTGATGTTGATGAATAGAAAACTTTATAGTTCCCAGGATCGACTTTCTCTTAACCTCGGCATTGGATTATGAATGTGTCGTTTTCTTGTTCAGCAATCGCGAGGTTTTTAAACAGCATACAATTACTTCCATAAAAACACAGAAAAACAGAAAACTTTATATTACTTCGACATATATAATAAAAGGCGGGACGGTAAGCAAATAGATGGAAATGGATGAAAAGAATCCAGCCAAGTAACCAAGTATAAATTTTTTCACGACAACACATCCCGTATTAATGGAACTTGGTTCACTTGGTTCGTTTGCTTGCATCTTCGCAGGTTCTTATCAGAATCACTTGCCTGCCTCTGTGTACTGGCATGTTTTCTTTCCAAACAAATCTGGCACTAATTTCGCCGTAGGAATGAGAGGTCTGACTGGCTCTACGAAGCATCGAACCATCTCTTGCACATATTGAACATGTCTCCCACTGCGCATTCTACGCCCACATCCAATTCATACTGCTTTGAATCAGGATAAAGTTCGAGTTTCAGGATGGTCGTCTGCGTTATCACCGCACCAATGACGGGCACCGTGTATGATGTGTTCATGGATTCCGTGATAGTTTTCAACATAATGACTATCACATGTTATATTCTGTTTGTTTTTTTTCTGAAGAAACTTAGAATGAGTGAGTTTCCACATGGTTCTGTTCAATTTTCGCCGATCCTCATTTAAGGCGAAAACATTCCACAGAAATCACGAGCATTTGAAGCGGCGCAATTTTAGGTAGCACAAATGCGAAGCAGATCTATCGCTCGCTGATTGTCATCAGTTTAACAACGGTGTTTGGTTGGCTCAGCACGATGCTGATCATTTCTATCGCCGATATTCTTCATATTGAAATTGAGCGAATATATGTTAACCTACTGGCTGGACTCTTCGTTAATTTTTCATGCGCGGCAACTTTCTTCGTCTATTATGTGATGAGGTGAGTGGAATTACGCCGATAGTAGATCTTCCAAAAACTCTTCTGTGGTCGAAATCGCAGCCGCATGTTACTCAACTTCAACAGCCAAAAGTTCACGCTGCCAAGGAATAGAAATATTGCTGTTTCAAATGTAAATCGAAGCAGTTGTCGACAACGAAGGCGAAGATGATGCTATGCAATTTCAAAATGTTACCTCGATTGCGACTCTATAAAGGCTTACAACGCATTTAAAAGAGAATATCAGCAACTTCAGTGTTCGCCGGCGATTAGGTAGACCGGTCTTAGTACAGACGGAGATTTCGTGAAATCGGAGGACCTTGACGCAACACGAGCCTCGACAGCAAACCCCGGACACGGGCTTCTTGCAGCTGACCCACTTAAATGTGAAGCGGACATCCGGGCAGATTGATCACCATTCGGATGTACAAATTTTTCACAATTACTCTGAAAAGAAAAACGGCATATTTCTCCTCACGTCTGCTGAAGGAAAATGCAGTACTTAGCTTTTCAACGTGAATGGGGTTAATGGAAAAGATGCTGGCGTGTGTTCGAGTTAGTCATTGATAGCAAATGATAAAACACCTAAAAAATATAAACCAATACTTTGTGCTTTGCATCTTTCGCAGTAATTCATATAAAGTTATGCATTCATTGTGGCGCCCTGCACAAACAAAACAAGATGTCTGTGGACTTGAATTTCTTGGAGATAAACGATATATCTTGTAGTAATTCCCACGTCCGACTTTCTATTAACCTCGGCATTGGTTGAACAATTCTTTCTACTTCTGTTCAGCAAACACGAGGTGCTATTTTATTTCTCTATTTACGTACAAGCTGACGTTTCGGCGGATTTCGCCTTCTTCAGAGCCTGGATAGGTCAAGTTCACAGCAATCTATTCTGCCGAACACCTCCTTAACCAAACAGAGAAAACGCTAAATCAAGATTTCAATCACATTCAGCATAGCTCCGCACACTCACCGCTTTCTATGGGTCCTCCACTGAGTATGTCGCGTGAAGACCAACCGCACAGAATTCACATGGAGGCGTAATGTGCCCCTTCCATCAGAATAACAGGTTTATATACTGTCCAATGTCACGCGTGATAATGAGGCATTCTTCCTTGCGGCTCATTTTCGGATTTCTGGTATTAATCCAGAACGCCTCGAGGGTTTTGTGCGCTTGCGTTCTTGATTCCTGTGCGAGGATCGTGACACGAGCTTCAAAGTTCGCGCCAAGTTCCTGGACTCCTCTCTCTGCCCTCTTCCCGTGCACACATCGGTTGCTGTTCGAAACATGTTTCTTACAAGCGCTCTTCTCGTGTGAGAGGGGTGAAAAGTGAGGTGATGTACTAAGATGTTTTTACTACTTGGCTTTCGGTACCACTTCGTACCAGCTTCAGAAATCCTTGCATTTTCCGCAAGCAGAGTCAACAACATGCGGCGGGATTCTGCTTCCGATTAGTTGTTCAATTGAAAGCTACTTTTAATGAAAAGCATACGATTCGTTTTAGGTGAAGTCTTGTGCATGTTTACTATAGTGATTCTCTTGAGAGTGAATATCATAGAGTAACGAAGACTCTGAGGAAGGCGAAATCTGCCGAAACGTCTGCTTGTACGTAAATAAAGAAATAAAATAGCACCTCGTGTTTGCTGAACAGAAGTAGAAAGAATTGTACAAACGATATCATTTCGTACTTGTCAATCTACGAATTGTTACCTGCGATGTCTGGGTTTTACGCTTCATCTTTGGTTCTTAGTTCAACCATCATGTAAAAAACTACGGAGATTTTCCTTACTTTTTGAAATGATGAAGGCACTCCAAGTCGTACCGCTTTTAAATAATTCGTTTTGAGGAGAATTATTTCTTTAGATACTTGAATGGCCCGTCCTCACTGGATGAACTGGCTGCAGGACCCAGCGTAGTTTCCATTTTTACGGATATTTGCTGGTTAAGGCATTGTGCTTCCCTGGAATCCTGAGGTCAGCCCGGCGAAAGCCTGCCGCAAGTCTTCACCACCACAGGCTGTCGACATCTTTGTAGATCAGGGAGAGATTTGCAACCATGCCACTAATTTGGTATCAGGACGGTGGTAGGTCTTCTGGTACTGGTTTACTCTTCGCTAGACTTCCTGATGGAAACGCAGTACTCCTCAGCTTGGGATACTCTGGCGAGTGGACGAATCCATCGCAGCCCGACGCTCAGGAACTTCCACGATGAGACGGTCAACCGTTGGGAGCTTTGAGGAGAATTAATGACTTAAATTTCCGACATTACTGTTTAGTAATTATAACAACAACAACAGTAAATAGCAATATTATTCCTTGGAAGTAATAAAAGCTATTACTTTGGATGAATTATGAATATGTTCAACGTTCAATCCAACTGCATTAATCCATTTCAGCAAAGAATACCGAAAAAACTTCGACGAGAAACTGCTTTTTATTCATGCTAAGAGATTATTTGGAGTGCATAGTACTAGAGCGGTTACTATCAATCCGGTAACTGATCGGTATCCAGCAATGCCATCACAAGGAATGCGACAGTCTCAGAGAAGAAATTGCTAAAGTGCGAAGGGATCCTAAAATCCCTTACGTAGTAAACAACTGTGTTGTTACATATGTTCTCGTTCTAAGCGATCTTAATTGTCGTAAACGCGTTATGATTAAAAGCCACGAGCTGACGAAACAACGCTAGTCATAAACCAGTTTGCTAAATTTCGGCAGCTAGACTCGCTAAACTGTGCTAATAATAGTAAACAAATCACTTCTATACGAGAAACCTTAAGTGGCAGCCGCTTCCAAAGTCTACTTTGGGAAAGTGCGCTGTAAACCACGCTCAGCTTCCCTCAGTAGCCCGATAGGACTCCACGAACCACTGTTTAATACGCTTTTACGAGAATGCTCGAACTAAAGCAATGAGTACAATGTTTGCCCATGAGATCGTTGCCGAAGGTCAGCGCAAAATCAATTTGTATTAGTCTTAGACACGATTCTTGGTCCAAATGCCTGTTGAATCTCACTGTTGTGGGCTTCGTCTCATCGTCTATGTAGTTTAATTCGTAGAAATACGGTAATCTCTAATGTCACTCATGCATTTCTGTGGGCCCGTTAATTATCGGTTAACTGAAGCAGGATTCAAGCCGTAAACTCTATTCGTCCCTGTTGTCTTCCTTGTCCGCTCCTCAAGCAACCGAGCAACGTTATATTTCCCTTTTTTAACCGTTTTATTTTCACGTAAGTAGCAGTATACTGCCAGTTAGGCTTCTCTGAGACATACTTTTAGCTACCCAGGATATCCGGATAGTAATGTCGAAATAATTCGAGTTCAATATTTCAATAGTTTGAGTTCAAATTCGAGTTCACTAAATTGAACAGTTGAGCAATTT